GGATGTAAGCGAAATATATGAATTGAATGTAAGCGAAATATATAAATTGAATGTAAGCGTAACTGAAGCTCAGGCGTGACTGAAAAATTTTGAATTTACGGAGTTCACAGGCGAATCAAGGGGTGAGGAAAATTAGCTGAAGGATCTTTCGTTCCCCCGCCACCCCTCAGTTGCACAGATACCAGTGCTGCAAAAACCAAGGTCTGTTCATAAATAAAACTAACGTAATTCTAAATATCATAGTATTACAACTCTATTCGCAGTTTTTGCACATTTCTCCTTCCCCCACCTCCTGTCGTCCCCACCAAGGTTGCACCCTCCTCCATGTTTCGTCTCGGTCTCTCCAGGAACCCCACCCTCCCGCACTCGCATGCCTCCCCTCCTCCGAGGAGCCCGTCCGGGATCCGCCTACGGCGGAATTGCACGTAAGAAAGAAATATTCTTGTTAAATTTCAGCTTCCGAGCTTTCATGATGATTTTACCCGCTTTATGGAGCTACGCGTGTTACCTGTAGGTAAAGGAAGGCAGAATTTAAATTTTCGGGGTAATACGTTGGCGGGAAAAACTCTGCCAGAATTTCAGCCGCCTAGCTTTTGTGGTTCCCAAGTTGAAAGTACGGGACAAAGTTTCGGACACACAAATACGTAGACAACCTCGTGATAATATGCGTTTTGTTTTGCTCTCACACAGCGCAAACGCATAAAAATGGGGTTGGGGAAATACTCTATTATGAAAGGGAATGAACCGTATTAGCGTTCTGTTGCTGAGAGCAAATTCGCGACATTCAAATTTAGGAGCTTTTTTTTACAGGACGCGCAGGAGTTTTTGGCGTGCCTTTTGAGCAAAATTGATTCTGAATTAGCTTCTTGCGCAAGCAGTGAAAGTGAAAAGCGCTCGAAATTGGTATCATCCCTTTTCCCAGCATTTGGTTTCGTGTTGACGCGCAAAATTGTCTGCATAAGGTTGGTATCGTATATAAAATTCATTCTATGCTGTTTTCGTGAAATTAATGACTTTTGCAGTTGATGAAGATCTATCACTGCTTTCTGTTTGCTCTTTACGAGGCGCTTTGTTCTGCATCTAAAACGTACAAATTTACTGTTTCGTGTTGCACAGCGATAGCACCACACAGATTCAAAATGAGTCATTGCATACTCTCAGCGACTGTGGACCGTTTGAAATTTGAGTTTTTTGCACAGTGGCAGCCCAGCTACACGAAGGGAAATATAAATTACCGAATATCATTAAAACTGCGTTGCTGTATGAACGCAAGAGATATTACTGATATCGTAGTAATGTTAGAATTTTTTATAGCTGCGCCAATGAAGTGGAAAATATTGCGGAAGACATGTTTTTGTCAGTTCACATCAAGCATGATGAGTAAGTTGGCTGATAAAATGAAAATAACAGTGGTCGTATACATTTTCACGATTGTGAATATCTCGCTATCACGCTTTTATTAAGGACTAGAAGTGGAAGTTTCTGATACAAGATTCACTCCAAGAGCACTTAAATTCCGTTTTTATGCGTTTTTAGCACCTATGCAATGCAGAAAACGCATGCTGATGACGGATTGTCTGTGTGTGTCTATGTATCAATGCATCTGTGTGTGCGTCCGTACCGATTTTTCATCGCAAGATCTATAAAAACTGCAAGACTGAAACTTTGGGGACTTACTTTACAAGCAAGTGCGAGCCCCAATCCGCAAAATAGGCGCTCTTACCCGCATGGTACCCATGTACGGACCCGCCAGAGTTTTGGCAGGCAAGCTGCCAACTCGGGGACCGGAAAAGCTAGAAAGTTGAAATTTTAAGGAGATGTTCCCTGTCCCAATAAATACTAATGAGCTCAAATCCAATCCTCGAATATGCGTGGTTTCCACACACGGGCCCGTGAAAGTTTTTGCGGATAAGTTACTAACTCAGGAACTAGGAAAGCTAGGAAGCTGAAATTTTCAATGGTCATTTCCTGACAGTCTGGCATCCAGTCTCAATTCTTTTAGATAGAAACATTTGCGGGAAAAAACAGTGCCGTTAGTTACAAAAATCTGCGCGAACTGTGTTGTCCCAGTTTCAAAATTTTAAAACAAACCTGATTTTCGAGACAAAAAGGTCTGACATCTTGGAGATGCTTTGAAAAATTAAATAAAAATAATATTTAATAGATTAGAACGGAAGAAATGGCAGATCGGGGATGTAGTATTTTGAATTTTATCAGTTCATTTGCAGAAGCGATGATCCGCTATCGATCCAGACGCTGCTGGATAAAGGCATGATCAATCAAATCGTTGAACACAGATGCCCACAATGCAATGAAAATTCGGCAATTCAATACCATTATTACTCCCGCTTACCGAAGTAAGTAATTTTTGATCAAGAAACATGAAATCACCACACTAAAAGTAATAGCCTTACATTAAAAGTAATAGCCTTTTAAAAATGGTCGGCCTTTGTAAGTTTATTTTAACGCTGTTGTATTTCCGTTCTACAGAAAAAAGTAATTAGCACGGATTATTTTCATCAGTTTACGGTTATGGTTAATGCTAAGGCTAAAATTAGATACTGAAATAATTTTTATATGTTATCCGCCATTGATTTGTATGGCATATTTAACCGTAACGCTACCAAGGGTGGTGATTATACCCAGGTCACTTTTATCCTTGATGAAGCGTGGCAAAATGCTGGTTGAAAAATTACCGGTATTAGTCGCGATAAGCATTGTGGTTTTTTTCAAAGCGCCCGCAGAATGATTGCTAGATTCGCTTGGTAACCTATTTGAAACTGGCAAGAAGATGAATGAAAATATGAATCTGAAGTTTTCGTTAATGAAAAGAATATGTAACAGCGCCAACAATTTATTTAAAATTTGTTGAAAATATTGCAAAAATTAGTTTTTCACATTTTTTGAGTAAAGGAGGGAGGGAGGGTGAGGGATTGGAAGGGCACGAAGTATGAGTAATTATGCGATCTATTTTATTATAGGGTTATCTGCAAAAATTGATGCTAAAATAAGTGGGTGCTCTTTCCGACACACTGAGCTGAGATAAATGATTCTAGCAGCTGAGCATTTTGTAAACGATATTAAAAATTTTTATGATTTAGAAGGAACTTGTGTGTGTGTGTGTGTGTGTGTGTGTGCGTGTGTGTGTGTGTGTGTGTGATGAACTGTAGCGTGGCGTTGTGCCCTGTCTGTGTATGCAATGTTGAGAAAGAAAAGTACGTTTATGGCTTGCTGGTGATGAAGCATGCAAATAGCAAATAATTGGCACGAAGTGTGGCGCTTGGGATCTGAAAAATCTGAGAGCTTGCTAGGCAAGGACGTTAGGCACTGAACGAGCGAATAGCAGTGGCCCTCCGACGTAAGAACAGAGGTCGAGTCGAGTGATGATGATGGTATTGTTGGTTAAAAAGAGTCCGATGAAGAAAAACCCA